ATTATATTTTTGTTATGAGATGCAATAGACATAAAATAGAGGGCGTTACTATCTTTAAATTTTCGAATGGAAAGTAAAATCATGTAATACCTCATATGAAAGATATTTTGATTATATTTACGTCCAAGCAAACAGTTTTAATTTTTTTTTGTTTATACAAAAATTATCTTGATAATCCTCATGTGCCGCAATAATCCTAGAAATGTTAGATAATGTTAAAAGAGAATTTTTAATAAGCTTTTTTTTCTAAAAAGTTATGAAAAATTTAGTACGTCAAGTGGTTTTTAAATCACCTTTGATATTCTTAATTTATTTATTTTAGTAAATACAAGAAGCGTTTCCTTAGTAATAAACAATAATTATTAATAAGAGAGTTATCAAGAATGTAACTTATGAGTAAAGGCTCAAAACATGTCTGTATAAGAACAAAGTACCAGCTTCAAAAAATTGCCATTTGTGCAGTGTGAAATCCCTCTAACAGTAAAAAATTACTTAAATTTATAAAATATACTGACATTTACTCTGTACTAGCCAAAATGTTAATTATCCATTGTATACTATTGAAAAAAACAGCATTTATAAGGTAAGGTATTATACCTCCGGTAATGATCCTTTGAAGTTGAAGCGGTAAATAAAAAAAAGAATTTAACCTACTTTATGAATTTATTTAATCTAATTTCTGTAAAAACATAAAACCTAAATCTGTTTACATGAAAACATGAACGTAAAAATATAGAAAATATTTTTCAAATGAGGTATCCACATGATCCTACTTTCCATTAGAACATTTAAAGCTAATAACTCCCTCTATCTTACGTGTCTCGTTATAACAAAAATATAATATCTCTTGAGTTTTACCTCGTTTTTGTTTTGTCATTATCTTTTTAGGGTACAATTTTCGTCCTCACTGTATATAATACATTCGTTTGTATTACCTTTTCTATGACAGTTTTTCGAAAAAATGCTTAAAAATTTTCAACTTATCTTCAAAAGTAACCTCAGAAAAGCAGAATAGATTAAATATAAGAAATGATAAAGAGACCAGAGATATAACATACACCGGTGTTTAACCTGCGCAAATGTTGCCAATTTCTAAAGAAAGGTTAACGGAGTGGGGGAACTGGGCAGGGACCCGAACTCTGTGACAGGGACCGGACTTTGTTTATTAGCATCATAATGAACTATTAGATTTATTTAAGATATACGTTTAGTGGAATTTTGTTTCATGAAATAAATTTAACGTGATTTTTTAATATCAAACAGATGCCACGACATTTTATTTAAAGAGAAGACCTTTTATAGAATATTTCGTTAGCTATTATTTACTACGGAATTTTCTGTAAGAGACTACAGTAAAATGTTGAAATAGAATATTGTTAATCGAGTAAGAAATGGTACTCATTTGTCTAAGAGTATTATAAAAAAAGCATGTGCGCAGGCGAATACTGCAAATAAACCTTGTGAGTTGAACATTATATTTTTTCTACGACTATCACATAATATTAAAAATTAGTCAAAATGAGAAAAAGATATATTAAAGCTTGTTTCTTTAGGAACATTAATTAATATATAGGATGAGTCACATAAAACTCTAGAAATGCATATGTCTGAAACCAGATTACATTTTAAAATTTAAACCTATTAAAAGTCATTTTGTCGCTAGGAGTGGGTGATTATCGAAATAAATTATTGATCATTAATAATAATCGATTATTTTCGATCAATCGATTATTTTCAAACAATCTATTTTTGTTCGTATTTTCTTTAAAATCGACTACTTGATTATCTTTAAAAAATCAAAAATAATAGATTAATTAAAAAGCCAATTAACCGATAAATCAGTGTTTACAAAAGATAATAAACGACTTATCGTTAATTTTAACTAAACGATTATTTTTAAATATTCTATTTTTTTTTTGTATTTCCATTGAAACAGATTATTCGATATTCTTTGAAAAATCTAAAATAATCGATTAATTAAAAATAAATAAATCAATTATTCGATCATTTTTGAAACATCGAAAATAATCGATTAAGGGAAAATAACCAATTAATTAAGAAGCCGATTCTACGATAAATCGATTTTCCAAAAAAATAACTGACTTATCGATTATTTTCAAATAATCCTTTTGTTTTCATATTTCATTTAAAATTGATTATTAGATTATCTTTGAAAAATCGAAAATAATCGATCAATAAAAAGCTGATTAACCGATATATCGATAATTCTAAGAAATAACCGAAATATCTATTATATAAAATAACCGATTATATTCGATCAATCGAATATTTTCATATAATCTATTTTTTCGCATTTCTTTTAAAACAAATTATTCGAATACTTTTGAAAAATTGAAAACAATCGATTAAACGAAAATATTCGGCTAATCGAAAATAACCGATTAAGCGAAAATAGCCAATTAATTAAGAAGCCGATTCTACGATAAATCGATTTTCCCAAAAAAAAAAAAAAAAAAAAAAAAAACTGAATAATTGATTATTTACAAATAATCCTTTTCTTTTTTCATATTCCTTTTAAAATTGATTATTTAATTTTCTTTGAAAAATCTTTGAAATAATCGATTAATAAAAAGCTGATTTACCGATAAATCGATAATTCTAAAAAATAACCGAAATATCGATTATATAATATAACCGATTATATTCGATCAATCGATTATTTTTATATAATCAATTTTTTGTATTTTAAAACAAATTATTCGAAAATATATGATTAATCGAAAATAATCGATTAATTTAAAAAGTCTATCAAACAATAAACCGATTTTTCTAAAAAATCGATTATTTTCAATAAATCGAATATTTTGAATAAATCTACTCTCTTTTTGTAATTCCTTTATAATCGAATATTCCATTACCTAAAAAAAACGGAAACAATTTATTGAAAATATTTGATTAATCAAAAATAATCGATTAATTATAACGGATAAATCGATTTTCATGAAAACGGTAAATCGATTATTTTTGTAACCCCTATCGGTCGCGTGCTTTTATCCGAGCATTTAGCTCCAAAATTTAGAGATTCGGATTTATTGATCCTGTTATCTTTGAAACCGCATTCGATTGTATAATAAATATTGCTAGAATTTAGATTTTTTTAGTAAACGAAGATTTTTTTTCGAGTTGTTTACGGGTTTATAATGTAACATTTTAATAATAATATGACTAATTTCCGTAACTTTAGTATTTTTTTGCTTATACTAGATCATATTGCGCGTTTTACTTTGTTTTAAGACTTAAGATTCAAATGTCACTTCCGATTTAACCGGAAATAAAAGGAACCTTAAAATTTTAAGTAGGTGAACCTGTATTTCATCTAATATTCTTGTAAAAATACCTAATAAAGGGCTAAAAACCACCTTTAGTAAATATTCTTATAAAACTACTTTTTAAAAACAAAATTTCGTTAGTAACAATGCCTATTTACTTCTTATTTAGATTAAATGTTTAAAATTTTACTCTTTTGTAAATTAATGCATTATGAAATCTATTTTCTGAAATATTATGTATTTGATGCTTAATATTTATTGAAACCCCTAATGCGGATCTGAAGTATTCAGCTCAAAGAATCATGGCGACTTTATGTCAAAACGTCAACAAATATTTACCGCTGAAAACAAATATATTTCTTATTTTTCATAACATTGACACTTATATTATTTGTATATACAATTTTTCACCATACATCGTGGCATTTTCAACTTGAAATTGAAAAAAAACGGCGGTCCATAAATGATTTACTCACGCGGAGACAAGCATAGAATATAAATTTCGGAGCAATTCGGGTGGCGTCGTGAACACAATGATTTTTAATTGGTGAGTTACTTAAGGTTGGAATAGACAACGTGCGCGATGTGCAATGTTACATCTCCGGTCTCTTTTATCTAAGATAAAATCCTAATAACACATGTATCATTTGTTACCATTTAATATATATAAAATAGGTGTTATAGTTAACTTTTTGACTATCTCGAAATCTAATATGTTAAAATTTTAAGTTACGATAAGCAATTGAAAATTTCAAATAAGCAAAGAGAAAATTGTTCGAGAGAGCCCGAGAGAGCTCGAGAGAAACGAGAAATTCTCGTCGAGAGATGACACTCTCTCGTTTCGAATCTGTTTTCGAGAGAAAATGTCTCTCTCGTCTCGTTCGCGACGAGACGCGACGAGACGAGAATCTCTCGTCTCGCGGTATCACTAGGGGAAAGGAACGGCTATTATTATGAGGAAAACCCGGAAAACCTCACCACCATCATCGAAAACGGTAACGCATGGCGATTTTTAATAATCTGGATGTCATATCAACAGAAATTAAATATCTGCTAATAGGGTATCCATCAAATCCTATAGAGAACCATGCAAATAAATTCACATGGTCTTCCGTAGGTTTCGAAACCGTGTCTCGTTTTACCAGAAAATTGGCTAGCAAATGAATGCCGCGCCATAGACGCCTACGCTACCGTAGTCGATATGTAGGCCATATCAGCCGAATGAAAAAATATAATTAATTTCATATACATTCTAGTACAAATATAAAACAGTTCAAAAGTAACTTTTTTAAAATTTCAAATTGTGACTATTAAAATTAATAATTATCAAACCACTGTATATTTACAAAGAAACGGTAAATTATTTTTTTATCTAAAACTAATTTACTTTTCTTAGTAAAAGTCATAAATTCAAATATTTATGTTAATTATTTTTAAAATAGTTATTTTATCTTAATAACCTAAATCAATTGTTAAAATTTTGTATTTATGAATGGGCCGAGGAAAAAGTACACTGTATAACTCGAGTGAATTGTTGTTACACAATCAGACGATTAAACTTCGTCTTCTTGAGATATGGCCGTTATTCACTCTTGTTGCACAAACTCTTATTTTGTTCCAAATATAATGAGGGACTGAAATGAGTTTAATTAGATTTTGATAATTTAAAAACCGAAATTTGCTATAAATAAGAGTTAACTATGTACTTACATAATGTTCACTACCAGTCCAATAGATGATATGATAATCATAGTGTCTGCGTCTATCTCAAAATTCGGATTATATAGTCTATTAATTGCTAAAGTCGATAAAATTGCCGCTAATAACCAAATTGTTAACACGCTAAAAAATACATTAATATGAGTTATGGATACTATAAGTATGATCTAAAAACTATTTGTATCATCTAAAATGCCAAAGTTTTCAATAAAATTTAAAATTATTCTAAAAAGATTTGTGTACATCCTCCAAATTAAATCAAAAATAAATATTCTGAAATTTTATTTAATTTGTAGGTAGTTTCTAATTATTTATAAACATTGTTTTAAGTAAAGTATGCAATATAAGATTCATAGGTTCACAGGTACCTATTTAAACAGATTCATTCACAAAAAATATTTCAAAAGTAGATATTGGAAAAATTTACAATTCTTCTTCTTAAGTACCTACAAGTTTGGATGTAATTCAGAGTCGTACGTAATTATCACGGATATGACCCGTATCTTTGTCGGTCTTTCCCTACGTAACAACCAGGAAGTCTAAAGGGCCACCGCTTATCAATAAATGTAACAACCAACTTGCCTAAAGGACCACTGTTTGTCACCAAATGTAATAACCAACTAGCCTAAAGACCATTTATAACTACTGATAGGTCTTTAGCTACTGTTTTTTTTTTTTTTTTTTTTTTTATTTTATTTTTTTATTTTTTTTATTTTTTTTATTTTTATTTGGTGTCATCGGCGTCGACTACTACGGCCATTAGCCTCGTGTTCTGTGTAGGCTTTGTTACTGTTTCTCAGCGCCACTTAGGAACAGCAGTGTTAATTAGAACCCAACAGTGAATGGTCGAGTGGGGAATCCTACCAAGGCATCAGAATTAATTTTAAATAATTAAATTAAATGAAAAAATCCCGGCCAACGATGGGATTTGATCCTGAGACCTTCCGATCTCAAAGTCATGACTCTAACTACTGAGCCAACCCACCCCCTATTGTTGTTAATATACTATTAAGGGATTAAGGCAGCATTCTCATCAGCCAAAGGGTCCTGTAGTCCAGAAGGAACATTCATTTACCAGTGGCAAATAAAAATAATGAAAAAATTAAATTAAAAGAATAAAAATTATCGAGCGGTTCTTGGCAACTAGTTTTAGACTCTTTTAGTCCTAAGGGAATAGAAACGCCGAGGGTTCTCAAATGCTCGGAATATCTCACTGGTTTTGGAAAGGGGTAGCGAGATTAATAATAAGTATTGAAACATTAATAAATGTATATTTACAATAAGTACAAAATTTGACCAATATGTAGTCCTAAGAAAGAATCAATAAAATTATATTTAGGGAATAAAGCACTACTAAGTAGTGCTATCAAGTCTTGATAATATATCCAAACTTTTAGTAAAAAAAACCCATGATTTATGACAACTAGATAAACTTCCTATGGAATTATATAGTTTGGAGTTATTCACAATTAAAAATAGTACCAGAAACTTTAACTATATAATAATGTAAAATATGTATAAGAAAAATATAATACTTGGGACGAAAATGTAAAATTGGCATTTATAGGTAAATCAATTAATTATTATCAAACAAAACACTTAAGTTAAAGATATTTACCTATATTACACAATCGCTGCACAAAACTTTACTGTACACTACGGTATTTCGGGACTTATGGTCCCGAAAAACGAGACCTCTCGCCTTCGGCAAAAGTTCTGGACCTTCTCTCGAAGTCTTTTTCTTTCTGTCTAATCTCTCTGTATAAGCCCAAAATGTACGTGAGAGTTTTGCTTTTAAAATGCCAACGTTCTACGTTAAATTCCCTAGTTCAATTTAAGCCATTGACTGGAGTAATAACCTGATTGTTTGTTTTGTTTTTATAAGTGTGTTTCCTATTGAATTTTTAATTCAAAACATTAAAAATACTTTTTTTTTAATTTTTGGTAAATTTTCAAATAATAATGCCAATTATTACACCTACTTCAGAAATATTTTTGTGGACCACTATTTATAACAAATAAAAAAAAATTTTTCATGACCTTTATCATTTATATTAAAATAAAGAGCGATTGCAAAAATGAGAAAATAATTAGTAAATTCGTTTTAAGAACACCAAATAGTCATTAAATCACCCTTAGAAATATAAACAGTGATTCACAATAAATGATTCTAAAGTAGGCCATGACCGACAAAGACAGATAGGATTCATGTCCGTGATAACTACGCACGTTTCTGAATTAAGTCCAAACTAATACTTCAAAAGAAGAATTTTACTTTTTAACATACGTGAATTTTTTCAAGGCCTACTTTAGAAACATTTCTTGTGGACCACTCCATACATTATTCAGCAAAATCAAAAATTTTAATAAAATGTTTTGTTATTTATTAGATTTAAAAATGACCTTTTATTGACATAAGAATAGAAACCTTTTCTACAATTATTAGTGAAATAGTAATGTCAGACATACCTAAGAAGAGCACCAATAACTTCGCCCCTATAAAAACCAAAAGTCATTGTTTTCGTGGGAGGCCTTTTACCGATCCATATTGCTAATAAAGAAATTACAAATCCTATTAAATCTGAAAATAAATGTGCTGCATCTGTCATCACTGCTAAACTGCCTGCTAAGTAACCACCAATTAGCTCACCAATCTAAAATTGTTTTCATTGCTTTAGTGTTTAGTGCATTTAAATTTAAAATAAACTAACCCAAACAAAGAAATATGACATCTACAATAGTTGGTATATTTGAACTTAAACCTTTTCATATGGTATACCAACAAACGAGCTATAATAAACCGTCAGATAGATCATGATAGAAAAAATTACAGAGGTATGATACTTAGCCGAAGAAATCTTGCCGAGTTCGCGCATGACGTATTGTGGGGGTTTAGGACATCTGGATGTCGCCGTTTCGGCGTGGTCATTTGGACGTCAGGCCATTTCGCCGGCGGTCGTTACAACGTCGGCCGTTTCAGCGTCGGGAATACAGTCTTCCTTTCGACACGAAAACAGTTTTATTATTTAATTATAATAAACCTAATTATAAGAAATATAACAATTATTTAACATTTATAATTATATTGTTAAGTTTGCTAAAACTTCCAACGCCGAAATGGCCGGCACCGAAATGGCCGAGATTTCGTCGGCTAAGTATCATAGCCCTGTAATTCTTGTATCATGGTTTCGGCCGACGTGCAGCACAGTGAACCGTCGTCGACATCTAGACATGGCTAAGCTTCACTTTGTCTCACATCGGTTTATGTGATTTCCGAAGTTTGCACGCCATTTTTCATTATTACAAGCAAATGAATATAAAAAAATGGCATTATCTTAGGAAGATTTAGATGGAGCAGTCACTTCAGAACTAGCATGGAGAAAGTTAATTGCTTTCGAAAAATCGACAACAGCTGCAGAAGATATATCATTAACAAATCTATACAAACCCTATTATCAAATTGAGTTATCCGAGATGCTGTCAGATAGAAAACAAGATGGCTGACTGTAGGCACACAAACTTGTTTACATCCATTGTTTTATAGGTGACACTCGTGATTTTTTGTGTACTTTTGAACAATACGTAGTTATTTGGAAGATCAGTTTTGTATTAGTCACTTTTATTGAAACATATGTGTATATTCAACAGTTTTATGATCATAGTTCCTTATTAAAGTTCTTAGCTTTTTAGAAAAAAATATTTTAAGAATAGGTATGCCTACTACTTGTTGTGTTGTAAAGTGTTGAAGCCGTGGAAATCGCGATCGTGTAAACTTTTTCAAGTTACCTAGTGAACTACATTTTGTACATAAAATAGATTTAAACGAACTTTCAAAAGAAAGACACCAAAAATGGATACAAGCTATCAAAAGAGATGATCTCTCAGAAATAAAACTTAATTATATCAGAGTGTGCAGTAAACATTTTCTATCTGGTAATGTTTAGCAATCTTATATATCAATTTTTATTTATTTGGTGATCTTTTTTAGGAAAGCCATCGGATTTAAATGATAAAAATAGTATTGACTGGGTTCCATCAATAGAAATGGGTTATGGCAATGATACAATAACTTTAAAAAGATCTCAGACTGCAGTTGCCAGACAAAAAAGAACATAAAAGAGAAGAAAAATTGTACAAGACGATATTTTAGAAGTATGACAATTTTATAGGTGTTATAATATGATTTATTAACGTATTTTATTTTTTAGGTAATCGCTGATGAAGTTGAAGAAACGTTTCCAATAAATGATAAACAATGCCAGACTGATGTAACAGCTGATGAGTTTACACAAATGATGATATCACTTGAATCAACCAAAAAATTAGAAGCTAAACTTCAAAAAATAGAGTTAAATTACAGTTTTTTAAAGATGATGATGTAAGAACTAAATATTACACTGGCTTAAATACATTTAAAAACTGTAAATATTTGTATCTATGTTAAGCCTTGGTTTCTTTGAACACTTCGTCGCGGTGAGCGGACAGTCCGTCAACCGTCGCGTTTTGACGATTTTATCCAACCAGAGTATTTAAATGGGAATGGTTTTCTTGAATCCGCTTAGCTGAACAGGACGGCGTCATGCCGCTGATTTGTCGCGAAGAGTCGGTTGATATCTGTTGAGTTTGATATCAGCGGAATCGTCGGCGTGTGCGGAGACTATATTGTTATTAATTTTAAAACAATGAGTGACAAATTCACACATACAGATGACATCATGACTTTATTTTTAGGTTTCTTGGAAATTATGTCCTTTATAAAACTCAACACGAATTCAAAAAGATCTGTAGAAAGTCTAAAATACTCCCTAAATTTGGTTTCATTTCCAAAAAGCCTCCGCTGCACAGTGATATTAAAGGCACCTTTTGTATTGCGACAGAAAAACAACTCATTCACTGGCTTATTGGAAACTTTGACGGTTGCAATTGCCAGTTCCTCTTGTTCTTCCTCTTCCAACAATAATAACAACGCAAACAATTTATTTGCAACCATTTTAGTACCTTTCGTTTACATTCATAATACATAAACAGCACGTACAGACATAGAGAAAGTATCATTTTCTATATTTTTTAACAAACCACCTCGGGCGAAAATTGCTGTCCTCAGCGGTCGACGGACTGTCCGCTCACCGCGACGGAGTGTTCAAAGAAACCAAGGCTTTAAGGGACTATGTACCTATTCATTTTAATACTAGTTTACCTATTTTTGAGCAAATTCTGCTTACTATGATGAAGTTGCGATTGAATTTAGATTTTAAGGATTTAGCATTCCGTTTTGGTATTAGCCCAACAACATCATCAACATATTTTAAAAATATGATAGATTTAATGTACCAGAGGTTCAAAAAACTCATTGTTTGGCCAAGCAGAGATATTTTAAAGAAAACCATGCCAGAATGTTTTAGTTATGCATTTGGTGAAAAGATATCCGTCATCATAGATTGTTTTGAGTTGTACATAGAAAAACCATCTAATTTACTTAAAAGTGCTCAGTGTTGGTCAAACTATAAACACCACTATACTGTAAAATATCTCATCGGAATAACACCACAAGGAACAATAAATTTTATTAGTGAAGCATGGGATGGTCGGGCCTCAGATAAACATGTTACTGTAAATTCGAAGTTTTTGGACAATATTATTCCAGGTAAAAAATATGATTTTTTATTGAAAATTTATTTCTTTCAATTATTCTATTTGGAGAGCATGATTTGGTTATAAGAAAAAATGTGTAATACTGTTATTTTTTTTTGGTATATATTTTTTAATTATGAAATTTTGTTATATTACCTCTATAATTCATTTATAGGTGATGTAATACTAGCTGACAGGGGATTTTCCATTGAAGAATATGTAAAAATGTATAATGCTGAGTTAAAAATGCCTGCTTTCACAAAAGGCAAAAATCAGTTACATCCAATTGAAATAGAGGAAACTAGATCCATTGCGCATGCTAGGATTCATGTAGAAAGAATAATAGGTTCTATTCGACAAAAATTTAGAATTTTAACAGATGATATGCCTATTACTTTGCTTGCTTGTGGTGATGATGATCCGATCTTGGACAAAATTGTGACGGTATGCTGTGCAGTAATTAATTTGTGTCCACCAATAGTGCCTTTGACAGGTGCATAGAAAATGCTGTTAATGCATTTCTTCATGATATAACTTTGTTTTAAATTATTGAATAAATGATTTCATTTTCGTCTGCTCATTGTATTTTTTTAGCCTCTACTGTCTTGTTTTAGCCTTTAATGTTTATTCTATTATTGTTTTTATTTGTAGTTACATTTATGTTCTGTTCTCGTACAATAAATAAAATTAGCCATGTAATGTTTATTCTATTTTTGTTTTTATTTGCATATTTCAGTTTTATTCTAGTAAAATGAATAAAATTCATTAGCATTTTTACCAAGTACTCTATTAAGTAGACAATCCTAACATACAAGTGTATAACGTCAATGTAAATCGCAAAGTGGGTAACTCCAGTTAGGAAAATTTTACAGGAGAACCAAAAAACTAAGAACCCTTGAACTTATTAAAACTGAATTTTTTTATGAGAAATACTGTAATTTGATTGAATAATAAAATAAGCATTTCTCAGACGGCAAAATCTGCCACTTTGGTATTAGATGGAGTTATAATCAACATTTCAAAAAAATGTGGAGTTACACATTTCACAACTTACATTGACGCTAAAGATTTATTGTAAAATTACATATTAAATTATTTTAGAAAATATTAAACTATTTTTGTATTAAAGTAGATTCCTAGAGAGCATAGTTTCTAAATAAGGCACAAAAATTACAAATTATTACTTAATACGAATTTCTTCAGGATGTCCGATATTATTTGAGTCTATAAAAATAAACTAATATATACAAGAAATAATAGATGTTTCAAATGAAAGTATATCTTTTTATAAATATAATTGAAATTATTTTGAAGTAAAAGTAAAGGTATTATCAATAAAAAATTAAATCTTAAATACTTTAGTTTCAGATTAATTAATTGATTATTAATTTGGTTTTGTTTGTTATAATCATAACTTCGGTATAAACATAGTTTAAGACAATTTTATCTTTTAAAAATGCAATATATTTTAAAGATTGATATTAGTTTTATTTACTGCCCTCTCTAATGCTTCATCTGTAGCAGCAATCAGAGTATCATTTGTACACTGATAAAGGTTAGTAATAAAATAATAATTGAACCCTAGTATTCTAATTTATTACATAAAAAAATATTCTGATGAATTGAGAATCTCCTTTTCTTTTGAACTCTGTTACAAATGGAGCTTCACATGTGATATATATGATTATTTACAATAAAAGTTTGAATTTGACACAAAAATTAAACAATACAAACTATGAACCACTGCACTGTTGACAAAACCATGGATCTTGAGGAATCTGGGGTAGTCCTACACATTCTAAGTGAAACCACTGAACTTCACATGTGTAATTTTCACATTTTAACATGTCTTGGTCATTATTTATATTACAGATACAGCACCTTTGAGATAGATGTTTACCTTGTAAAATACCTTCCCAGAAGCTCAGGGAGTATCACTTTTTGATGAAAATTACAGGCTTTCGAAAAATTGAGCACCCAAAAATTATTAACAAAAATTCTTTCTTCAAAAAATCCAGTTGGT